CCCCCCCCCCCCCCCCCCCCCCCCGCCCTCAGGCAAATCTACTTATATATGGTAGCATGTACCTGACATTCGCTGATCTCAAAGAGCCAAGCAGGGTTGGACTTAGTAGCTGAATGGAACACTATCAGGAGATCCCAAGGTTGTTCACTAGATGTAAAGTTACAAATAAAACTGGAAAAAGATGACAGCAGACCAGTTCTGTATTGCTGCATGGGAAACCATATGGACTCTACTAGAGAGAATATTTACATAGAATCTTAGTGCCTATGTAAATATTCTCTCTAGGAGAGTCCATATGGTTTTCCGTGCAGCAGTACAGAACTGGTTAGCTGTCTAGTAGAGTCCATTCCCAGGGCAAGAAACCTCAGACCATCCCAGACAAAAAGCTGTCCAGCCTTTATTTGAAAACTTTCAGCGATGGAGCACCAATGACTCCAGGAGGCAGGCTCTTCTGCTGCTTAATAGCATTCACAGTCAGGAAAGCTATTAAGCAGTGGAACAACCTGCATTACTCCATCTTGGTACTTCTTGGCAGGATGTCTGGCTATTGAGATTCTCAAATGATTGAGATGCCTAGTAAGATGCCTAATACGATACTTGCTTGAGAACATACAAAATAAAATCCTGGAATTAGCCATGAGATGTAGGAAAATTAAGTTTTACAACTATTGTTTTGTTTTTCTGTTTTTTGCTTTGTGTATTTATATACGTTAAATCCGCCAAGGGTTTCCACTGTATTCTGTATTGAGACTAGAAAACTTTTCAACTCCAGTCCCTTGAATGGGCACGGTTAATTTGATGCCACAAGGATGGCCATTTTGTTTGTTTATAATATTGATAGCCTGCCTTTAAGGCCAAAATCTTGCGAAGTTTCAACTGCTGCTTATCTCTTTAATGTAGTTCCAGCCTTATACAGACCCCTTGCAGGAGATAGTATAACAGTATCTCATTAAATGAGAGTTTCTTTGAATTTTGTTTCAGGATATTGAAGAAAATGCTTAAATGCTTTGCTTACGGCCTTAATCAGCACTTGAATTACATGCAACCAGCTTTTGGAATGTTCATAGTATGGAATCTGGATATACTTGGAGTGACTGTACCTTGATTTAATCCTATTTTCTAAGATTTAGAAGAGCCAGGAAAGTTGGAAGCACTTCTCATCCATCATGCTCAGCTCATGCCCTTCCAAGTAGCTTTCTTCCTGTTCTGTTGACTTTGTTGAGGCTGAAGAAACACATGAATGCATTAAGGATGACAAGCTAACTCTCTGCGTAGCATGTAGGAGAAACACCAAATAGGGCCAGTCATTGGTTGCTACTCTCTGTGTGAAAGGGTGACTGAAATGCTGCTAAGGAAAATGGAAGGGCTTGTTTTTCTAATCTTCAGCATATCCTATAATGATTTATTCACATAAACTGCAACCTTTAGGATGCATTTTTATAAATCTTTTTAAGCAGTTTTGATTCTTAGTTCAAGATCTTACCCTAGTAAAATACACTTTTAAATACAAGGTATTTGGTCTGACCACTTTATTCTGTAAAGATAAATATATGTGCAATACCAGGATGTATGCATAAAGTAATGAGATTTAATTTTTATTCCAGTGGGTCTTTCAAGTTGCTGAGACAACTAAACTT